AAAACTAAAACTAAAACTAAAAACAATAACTTTACAAACATTAAATAAATCCAATTTAAAACAAAAAGTTCATTTCCAGCTTCAAGGACCTTAGAATAGGAGATTGGTGAGCTCCTTCCTCACATTGGTTGGAGAGATAACTCTTGTTTGCTAACAGTGTTGGTATTAATTTTAACTCTGTGTCCCGGTATTTGGAAAGTTGTTTTTTACTTCTGTTATTTCCCTGAGCATCTAGCTGAACATAAAAGTAGATACAAACTGAATTAATCAATCTGTGATCATAGTTCTGAGCCAATAAAATGAGAAGCAAGGGCTTGGAACTTCTGTTCTAAAAAAATAATGAGACATGATTTATTCATGAATAAATAAAGTGTAGCTGAAATTAAATTTATCTAGATGAAAACCTCATGATTCACATTTATTTCTGTAAGGAAACCTGATTTTGTTGGAATATGCTTATTAGTCAAAGAGTTGCAGCCTATGACCTTCCAGATGTCATACATCAATTCCTATTTTGCCTTTTCTCAGGGAGGTACCTATACTGAACCAGTAGCATTCGAAGAACCACAGATTGATTATCTTAGGAATAATCACCTTTTAAAACTATAACAAGGAATTAATAAAATAATAAATGAATAAGGAAGCATGCTATTTTTATGACCTAGTTATTCAAAGTGCTCTTATTAATAGTTTTGGGTATTATTTGCCTTTGTTTACTTACGTTTGTGACAACAGATAAGATAGCCATCCCATTTAAGATTTCTTGCCAAATTCCTATGCTATGAGCTTTGGCTGCCACAGGCCTTCGAAACTGAGTTGTAAGTTTCCAAGAATCAACTCTAATCTCCAAGATGTTGTTCATCAGAGCAAGTAGTGGTGCCAAAGGAAAAGAGGCCACAAACAGAGTAATAAATCCGAACTGAATAACTGTATGGATAGAAAATAGCAGATAAACAATTGAATGAAAGCTATGAAAAGTTATGTTTGAGATTCATGTACTTAATGCTATTAGAAACATTCATGAATAATCAATAAATTTGAGTGCAAGAAATATTCCTATGTGGAAAGCAATTATTTGAGATGTGCAAAGTGTTTTGATCTCAAACCAGAACTCACTATTCTGACCTATTCAAAGTAGTTAAAGTTGAATCACTTCTCAAAGCTCCAAAAATATTAAAATAGATGAAGTTAAGTTAGCAACAGTTATTTATGAATAAAATGTATACTGATTGGAACATAAAACTTAAAGAAATATACCCTGAAATTTTTATTTATTTATATAACCCATTAACATTCCAATATTTATGTGGCTCCTATAAAGATAAGGGGGTCAAACTTTTTCCAAACACCAAAAGACAAGACAAGAAACAATGGATGGAAACTAACCAAGGTGAGAAGCAACCTAGAAATAAAGAGAAAATTCATAATGGTTACAGCAATCAACCAATGGAATAGCTTGTCTTCATAAGTTGTGGGTTCTATTTTCTGTTTAGGTGTCATCCAGCTCTAAAGTGTCTTCAGATAGGTATACTACACTTGATCTCAATGCACAATTTAAAATTTGTTCTCTGAAAAAAAACCTTTTTGATGAAAAGCATCATTATTAGCATAAATACCCAGGACATCTGCTTACATTAAGCCAAACCCCATTACATGA